TCACATAAAGATGAAAAACACACAGAGAGTCTCGATACTGTATGTTATTATGTTCTCTTTGAATTGTTTTAATGCTTAGGAAGGGGAAACAGGTGCTTAAAGATATTTGCTTATAAATGCTGCTGAATTAATCCAAGACAGGTATTTTTGAAAATACCTGGACTTCAAAACTGAAGTAAAAAAAATTGTTACTTTGGGGAAGAGGTTTTGTTTCCACAGGAAATGAGAGGCTGTGGATTCATTCCAGGTTAAGAAAAATCAGGTTTGATCAAGGAAAATCCCATGAGAAATCTCTGATTGAAGCAGATGCCCCAGATGTCTTAGTTCTACATCCAGAACAAATTCAAGACTGCTTCCTGAGATAATCAAGCCTCACAGGATACTCCAGTCATGACTTGATTATAATTCTAAATTTTCTTTGAGTCCCCATAAGATTATCAGCACCCCTAATCAGCACTAAGTAGCCTGGAAAACTATGCCCACATTCCCAAAAATGGACTATGGATATTTTCCTTTGTTTAGAAAGTTGGTTACAAGTTGTTATGGGTAATGATCTGGAAGAAAGCTAAACAAGGGAGATTTGATTCAGAGTTCTTGTTTTGAAAAAAAAAAAGGAGGGGAGTGCTCTGGGATAATGGTCTTGTATCACATTTATTTTAAATAACCGAACCAGGCAGGAAGTGGAGGTGGGGAAATAAGAATTCTGGGAAGAGGGAAGTCTCAGACTGCAGTCTGTGATCTAGCCTCAGAAGAAACAAGATGTGACTACCTCACCAAATAAAGTACCAAGTCACATGGCTAACATAGACAAGAATAATGGGCTAATATAAGTTATAAGAGTTAAGAAGAAGTCTGAGCTACTGGGCCAATCAGTTTATAACTAATGTAGACCTCTGTGTGATTCTTTGGGACTTAACGGCTGCAGGACTGGGCAGGATAGAAAACCTCGGTCAACAATGGTGTTTTATCACAGCAATAGAAAGTTAACTAAGCTCAAGAGAGCAAAAAATGACCCAAATGTGTGATTTGATGGTTCTTATGGATGGAGTGTTTGTACCTGTAAGCATCACAGCTCAAATGAAATGGGATCCTGGCATTCAGGAGTTAAGGAATTCCACAGTCACTATAAGCATAGCAGTTTACAGCCCTGCTTCAGGGGAAGGCTTCCCCAATGTAACAGCTCTGCTCTGGCAGGGGAGGGTTATCCCCTCAGAAGTTGTTATTGTTCTGCTCAGGTTCCTGGGAACTTAACAACTCTGTTCCACTAGGGGCAGGATTCCTTCAGGAAAATTACACAGTTCGGCTCCACTGTGCCAAGGACTACGAGGAGCTTAAAAACTCTGCTCAACTAGGGGCAGGTTTCCTCGGGGAAAGTTACAGGGAAAGTTCCACTTCGGCTCCACTCTGCACCTCCTCAGTTTACCCAGGAGCTTAACAGCTCCTCTCTGCGCGGGGCAGATTTCCCCAGGCAAAGTGTGACAGTTCGGCTTCACTCTTCTCTGCTTTGAAGAAAGCTGTTACTTCTCTGCTCCCTTCTTTGCTGTGCTTCATTCCAGCGAAAGAAGTTTTCACCCAAATCTCATCCCAAAGATTTATTGGGAGGGAAGAATCCAGGAGAGAGGCTACCTCTGCCAGGGTGGAAAAGGGCAGCTCCCAACTGAACAGGTACAGGGCTTATACAGGGCTTCTTAGGGGTCGCAGTTTTTTCAGGGTTAAGATTTTTTAGGGTGAGAATTGGATTTCAATCCCTGACTGAATTTCATGCTCAGGAAATGGTTGGTTTCATTCTCAGTGATTGGTTTCGTGATTGTTTGGTTTCATGCTCAGTGGTTGGTTGGTATTCCTGCTCAGGGATTGGTTGTTTTTGTGTTCAGGGATTGGTTGGTTTGTTCTGTGTTGATCAGGGACAGAATGTGTTTCTTTGGCTCTGGTTTCATGATCAAGGTGTATTACTTTTACTGGCCCTTTTTAAACTTTGGCTCTGGTTTCAGAGCCCGAGTATGTTTCTTTCCCTTACTCTTTTTAACCTTTGGCTCTGGTATCAGAGTCAGTGAATTAATTGGCTCTGGACTTAGGGTCAGGATGTGTTTCTTTGGTTCTGGTCTCAGGACCAAGATATGTTTCTTTGGCTCTGGGCTTGGGGCTGGGGTGTGTTTCTTTGGCTTTGGTTGCAGAATTAGGGTATGTTTCTTTGACTGGCCTTTTTACCCTACAGTATTTATCTATGTAGAAAAGGTCTTATGTGGTTTGAATCTCTCATAATAATCAGGAAGGGCAACAGACTGTGTTACAAAACAGATTCCAGCATCATTTGTTTGACATTCAAAGTTATTGATAATCTCTTGTCAAATTTTTATGAGAAATGTACATAAGAAGTAATATTTGCCTAAAATATAGCTGAGTATTTGTTATAGATATGGTTCTACTATAGACTGTTACAGGTTTATACACCATACACATAATAAATACATACATATGTATGTACATGTGTAAAATTACATAAATGAAGAATAAATAAATAAATAAAATAAAAGACATGACTGCAAGCAAGATAGTCCTTGAAATGACTAACTTTCAGGTTGTCTACTAACAGGACTCCTAGGTTCTAGAATATGTCCTTTCTTGAAGAGATGGTTCTATACTACAATGATAATAGCTGTATCACTTTTAAAATTTATAAACTTCATAGCCAATTGTAATCAAAATATCACAATTCTAATTTTTACCTGTTGTACACATTGTGTTATGGCTGGGGTGATTAAAATTACTAACACTGTGTGTTAAACCTCTTTTCTCTTTCTTCCTTTTTTTCTTTTATTTTTTTAAAAAACTATCTTTTTTTAATTTTACATACAAATCCCAGTTCCCACTCCTTCCCCTCCTCCCATTCCCTCCAATCTCTTCCCCACCCCACCCCATCCACTCCCCAGAGAGGGCAAGGCACATTGCTTCGGGGAAGATCCAAGGCCCTCCCTACTATATCTAGGCTGAGCAAGGCATCCATCCAAAGAGAACAGGTTCCAAAAAGCCAGTACAAACAGTAGGGAATAAATTCTGATGCCACTGCCATACAACTGTTAACCACATTCAGAGGGTCTAGTTTGGTCCTATGCTTATTCCTTCCTGTTTGGCAGGAGTTGGTGAGCTCCCATTAGCTCTGATAAACAGTTTCAATGGGTGTCCCCATCATGCCTGACCTCTTTGCTCATATTCTCATTCTTCCCACTCTTCAACTGGATTTTGGGAGCTCAGCCCAGTGCTCTATTATGGGTCTCTGCCTCTGTTTCCATCAGTTGCTGAAAGAAGGTTCTATGGTGATATTTAAGATATTCATCAATCTGACTACAGGGCAAGGCCAGTTCGGGCACCCTCTCCTCTATTGCTTAGGGTCTTAGCTGGGATCATCGTTGTAATCCATGTTGTACATGTTTTGGGTCATAAATGCTGCCAGAATGAGGGTAATTGTAGATTCTTCCTTCACTGTTTGAGGGAGCCGCTGAGGTCAGTCAATACATGGAAGTGCTTGAGTTGCTACAAGAAGGCTCTGAGAGGCCATTGCATTAAGCTTTGAAAGTGAAGCCTGCAATGGATTAAAGACCCCTATACATTGGAGATGCTGGAGATATGAGACATCTACCAAGAAGAGCTGTATGTCCAGAGTAGTACCAAGCCAAGAGAGAGGTGTATGTTACAAATAGCAAAGCTGGAGATACTGAGCCATCGAAGCCCTTAAAAACCAATGTAGCAGACAATGGCATGGAGTTACAGAGTTTCCAAGTCACAATTAAGACGTTACATTGAGTCTCAGAAGAGACTGGACTTTTAAATGGTGTTGAGATGGAAAGACAATGAAGGCATTTAAAGTAGAACTAAATGCATTTAGCATTATGATGTGACAACAAACCTTTGAGGACCACAGAGTAGAATGTAGTGGTCTATGTGTAAAATGCCCCTCATAGTCTCACACATTTAAACACTTGGATCTTGGTTAGCGGCATGTTTAGGGCTAAGAGTATGAATCTTTTAGAATGCAGAGCCTTGCTGGAGGAAGTACATTGCTAGGGGCAGGGTTTGAAAGTTTATAGCCTCTTTCAACTTCCAGTTTGCTCTCTCAGCTTCCTACTTGATGAAATGTGATCAGTAACTTTCCCACTTTGGTTACCTGCTGCTCTATCTTTCTTGCCATTGTGAGATCTCTTCTGGAACCATAAGCCAAAATAAATTCTTTTAAAAGTTGTCTTTTGGCCATGGTATTTTATTATACCAGAAGAAAGGTAACTAATACTACACACACACACACACACACACACTACTGAATCTCCATTTAGCATTGCTAATATAGACATGTTTAGGGCTAACTGCTTGGTATTGGATACCATATCGAGAGGTTCACCCTTGGAGGAAACTGATAGTCCTTTTCTCAATAGCCATTGGCTGTAGTCCTTCATCTAGGATTGAGGCTTTGTAAAAGTTCCCCCATCCATGTTGGCATACCTGATCATTACTGTCATTAAGCAGATATGTTAAGCAACCATACTGTTGAGGTTTCACAGGTGTAGCATCACTATCATATCTATAAGACACTATGTAGCTGCAGACCTTGCTAGAGAGGTCACAGATCCTAGGAACCTACTGCTACTGTTCCCCTCAAACCACCATAACTTCTAACTCAACTATAATACATGTCCTTAAACACACAAGTAAGTGTAACTCTGTCTTCTCATCACAGAAGCTACTGTTAGCAAATATAGAGACTCTCACAGAAATCCACATGTGATCAATATGCAGAGAATAAGTGAATGTGCGGTACTCAACCTAAACATACATTTACAATACAACCCCTATACCTGAGTCAGGGAACATTGTGGAAAAGAAGGTGGAATGATTCCTTTTATCCCTTGCATAAAAGACACAGTCTAAGCCCATAGCAAGTATATCAAGTTGTGTTAAATGTTTATTTCCCATTATACAATGTACACACTCAATAGCCTTTTCTTCAATTACTCTTTAGCTGAGTTAATGACTTTCCCTAAAAAGATAATGCTTCTGGTTCTTTTCTCCAAAACCATCAATAAGAATGTTCTGTCAAATTGGATAATGGGATGAAGAGAAGCTACTTCTGGCTGTTCCAGAGACACAGCTGCAGGAGCAGCTACTTCTTTGGTCCCTTGTTCTCCAATGTGCAGCACAGCCTTGTGAAAAAACCTATGAGAGAGGAACACACACTGAAGATCTCCTGAAAAGTGGCAACAGCCTTTGGGTGTGTTAGAAGTACAAAAAGAAATAGTATATATTGTGTAGATGGTACTTGAATATGAATATTACTTCGAGAAGTTTCCTTAATTTCTGTGATTTTAGGACTATTTGTTTGGGTAGCATCTCATTCTCCATCACCTTTCATCTCTAGAAGGTACCTTTTTGGTGTCTTCCAAACATCCTCTAGCACTGCATCTCATGAGTTGCTTCTCATCATTAAGGTTTTCCATTGTCTTAGAGTCACCTAACATGAGGGTTAGGGATATAAATTACATTTATTTATGTATCTGGGTATCTGGCCTACATGTATTTTTTTTTTTTGCATCACATGCATGCTTTGTTCCGGCAGAGACGAAAAGAGGGTGTCAAATTTCATGGGACTGAAATCATAGACAGTTTTGAGCTTCCAGGTTATGTTGGCAGTGGAAATTTAACCTGGGACTTCTGGGAGGGCAAACAGTGTGCTTACCTGCAGAGTCGTTGCTCCAGTCCCAGAAGTGACTTCTAAAATGATTTATTTTGAGTAAGAAGAATACTCTCATATGATACTGACCTAATAGAATCACGCTGTGACTATAGACATGAGATTTCTCACTGACTAAACAAGGTAGGTGAATTAATTGTCTCTTGAAAGAAAAAAAACCAATTCATCAGCTTACATAGGAAAGTTTAAGACCATTGTCTCTCGTAATTCCAGGTTAAGTCGGCACTTTCAGCAAAGGCATCCCTCATGCCCATCTTCTGAAGTGTACTTCCAAGGTCATATGTGGCAGAAATAGAAAACTTTGGAACACACATCTGTGTGGAATAAGGAAAGGGAGACATGACAGTCACCACAATAATCACAAAACACACCAAGCTATAGCTCTTTTTCTTTCTCTCAATCAACTCTACTACTCCCCTGAACAATGAGAACCATTAACATGGCGCCAGAGCCATAGAAGATATTGTCATAGAAATTGCCTCTGACTCAGACAATGTTGGGCTGTAACACATGGTTTCCTGGGCCTTTATTACAGAAAGATGTATCTCTGTGGTACTGAGCAAGGACAGGGGCTAATGGAATGAAGATCAGAGCTTAGTGCACAGGCACTTTCATGATTTTCTGTCTTGCAGTTCTAACTAAGAATGACTGCCAACTCCATGCAATATTAAATCTTATCCATCCCAAAGCCTTATTTGGTCTCTAAAAAGGTATCAGCATTGTAGCATGCTCACGTTGGGGAGCATTATGGGAATTTATTATTTGACAAATTTCTCCCTTGGCATTTTCTCAATATGCTTTGATGAAACACTGTGGAAAGTATCCAAAAAATCTTATGCACACTGTACTGGACATACTCTAAATATCATCATACCATTGACAAGGGCATCTGGGTAATTTTCCCGCCTCTAGGTTTCTTCTGAACTCAGCTTCATCTCCACTGTTAGGGCCACCCATATGTCATCACAACCTATAAATTGTTTACCCTTTCTTCAGTAAGTAGTTCGACTTCTTCAATGTCTTAGATGACATGGTTGTCTCTACTCCCTCTATGTGCCCCTCCTTTGGAAGTACAGAACGTGCTAGGGCATTCTCACTATAGTCCATTCGAAGTACTGTACAATTCAGCTTTACATCCAGAAAATGATAGCATTGTTCTAGGTGGTGCATCATGGGCACTTGTATTGCGGTGGTCTTGTCTACTGAGAAGCTGGAACTCTCTTCTGTTTTAGACACATGGAAAGGATTTGCCCACTGGGCTTAAAACAAAGAAAAATAAGAGATGTTTCTTTGAAACTATTAGTCCTTCATGTAATAATTAAGACTGTCTACTGTCACCTAGTCTTCCAAGTAACTAAAAGTGCCCCAGTAAGCATCAGAGAAGCAAGGTCAGCTGACGTGATAATCCAGCTACCACATGGCAAACACAGAGTTCCTTTCCAATGCTGCTGAAGTTGGTAGTCTATTTGTAGAAACACTAAACTTTCTACACCCATCAGAAACAGTATCTCCTTCCATGAAAAAAGGTATAGGAGTGTCCAGAAAAATGGGTAAAATGAGATAAGAAAATGTTGTGCCATTTTAAGCATATATAGGTGTGTGGCTTATGCAAAAAAACCCCACTCATCCAAATATGAAAGATAGGTTCTATAAAATCCAGAGGAATTATGTGGGTATAGCCCTTTCAGAAAGGAGGGCACATGATACTTATTCTAAGCTCTAACTTCAGGGTTAGATAGCCTTGCTGGAAAGGGTAGAAGTGAAAATTATCCATGGTATTTGGATATGTATAGCATAATTGCACATAGTAAGTACTTAGCATATAGTAAAAGGGATTTATGCAGTGTATCCAAATCTACACAGGAAGTACAGACTACATTATGCTTAAATACAAATTCAGTTGACTTGCTGAACATGGGCTTCTCCCACATCATTAAATATTTTAGAAACTATAATTATTGAGCCTGACCAAAATATTCATAACATTGTCAATCACATTTTTTAAAAGTGTTATCTGCCTAAAAGTTTTCTGGGCTCATCTGCAGAGCTTTGTGTCATCCTGGAAGGATTCAACACAATGCATGGATGCATACATAGTGAAGAATCACTCTGGTATGAGGAATACCTACTGATGCCAGTGATAAGAGGCCATAATGCCCCCACACACACATACTTCTCTATCTTAACACTAGACTGGAAATTAATGTCTTAATGCCTTACCTTTGAAATGAATATAGTTCACCAGAATCATGATGATGTTCAGTCTAAGGTCTTGAATTAGGTCTATAATTTTCCCTTTGGCTTGCTTCTCCACATAACTGTTGATCTCCTGCTGGGCTGCAGAAACATTGGAGAAGTCGATAGGAAAGACTTCAGTTTCATAGAGGGTCTTGATATCATCCAAAACCCTTGCCAGTGTTTTCAGCTGCTGTCCAATGAAAACTGCATTTCTTTTCTGCAATTCCAGTTCATTCTTTGGGAAATTCAATGAACAGATCAAATGTTGGAAGCCCTGATGTAATTCTGTTATTGGAGTATGTGTGAGGTTAAAACCCAAGACCTCTAGAATAGGAGTTTGAGTGTTAGAGCCAGATCCAAAAGAAAACATGGCTAAAGCAGCAGATGTGCTCTCAGGGGAAAAGAAGATGTTCCAATCTGGGTTCTCCACAGGGAACCTATGATACAGACTGAATGCAAAGCCAGCATTGATAGATGACATCTTATAGAGAGTGGCATTTTGTTGGGGCAAATGGAAGGTTGTAACTTTGCCTTCAGAAATGTTATATTGCACACAATGGATTGTAGTCTGAAGCCCAGATACCAAGAGAAACAGATAGAGGAACACTGACATTCTGAAATGAAGATGATCTACAAAACATGAAATGAGATAACACTTAGGAGAGTTTAGATGAAACACTTTCTGATCCAGACAAACATAAAAGTCACCCACTTTGATTTATAAAGCTAAAGGAAGTATTTGGAGCTGTCTTCAGTGAGGAACAAGAGGTGGTAGTCTCTCTTTTCTCTAAACACCAGTGACCTGTCTACTTGGGGAAGAGAGTAGGAGAAATGAGTTGCAACAGAAATATGATGTCATAAATTCATTAACATATGGTAATAGCATGTGAAAATATTGATACTAATTTAAACTGATGGAAATTGAATCATTTATCATTTGAATGAAGAACCATTAGACAAAGCAAGTACTCCCTCTGTTTATGTTACATGTACCTGAGAATTTTAGTTTGTGTGTATGTGTGTATTTTAAGTTGGCATTTTCTTAAGATACCATTTGTGATACGATAAATGAGAACATCTCCTATAAGAAATGACTAGTTGGAACTGAAGAGTAATAGTGTATTGAGTTATATACAATATAGCAAGTCAAAATTCATACACCTGTGAAATATATGGGGGCCACAAGAGTATTTTCAAACAATAGGAAAATGAAAGTAAACCATTCTTGTTTTAGAGATTTTTTCTTTTGGTACCACCTAAAGAGTCTTTTCTCACTTCTAACAGATCTTAATAATTTTGTTCTAATAAGTATGCATGGAATTTTGTAACAATTAGAGAGGAAGGCCGAGAGTTTTCTAAGCATGAAATACTACAAAGAAACAGGGAGCATGATGTAGAGTCACAAATATTTATACACCAGTGGTTAGAAAAAAAGAGATTTATGAAAGCAGTATAGGACCTCTTCTGAAGCCTTTAATTTTCTTCGTGAGTGGCCTCATCTTAGGTACTAAGTTGTTATATTGTAAATGTCTGTCTAGCCCATACTGTCTTACCAGCTGCTACTAGACATATACACCCTGTTTGTCCATTCATTCTTCAACCTCCACTGGGACATCCCAGTTTCCAAATGTAAACTTATTCTTTTTCAACTCCCCAAACCTCTTCTTCATTTTCATTCTATATTCCAATATATTGCACCCCTGTTAATAGACAGACACATATCAAAAGGGCTTGCTTCCTTTTTATTCTCCACTTATAATGGTCGTGATGACCAATGAATACTGCCTGGATACTTATCGAAACTTTTCATTTCTGTCCATCTCTACTTGCCAGTTGCCAATGCCTAAGTTTAAGGCTTTAATGAATTTATCTGCTCCAGCACAATAGAGGGCCTTTTACCTCCTCCAACCTTCCTTCATCCAGTTCTAGAGCAAATTTCCACATTATCACTGAGTACTCTTCCTACCAAAGTTGACAAGGCTCACCAGAAGGTCAGTTAGCAGGGGACCACTCTAAAACCTTGCCTCCTGAACCTATATGCTTCAAACTCAGTTATTTGGAACTCAGGCATGTTAGAAATTATCGGTGTTCCCAAGGACAAAGATACTCATGGTACAGGCCCAAGAAGCCACTTGCATCTCTCAGATAGCAACACCTTCCCATCTTTATAACATGCCCTCTGTTGCAAAACTAGAGCATTCTTAGTTACAAATTAACCATGACATGAATGCTGGGATGACATTTCCAAAGCTGATGCACAAAACCAAGGCCAAATGAAAAACAAGCTTAAAAAGTAAGGTTTGCACTCTGGGTAAAACTTTACATAATTCTTTGGCTTCTACATACATCTCTCATTTAAAACAGTTCTTACTGTTTTGGCCAAATAGTGTTAAAACAGGAAGACTTTTGAGAAAAAAAAGATATGTACAGACAGAAACTTGGTGAATCTTTCTATTTGGTGTTATAGGTTTTAGCATAGGTGGAGAAAATGCTCACAAATCCCCGACTTTTTAATGCTCAAAGGGAAACTAGTCATGTCTTGTGGTCACTAAAGTCCCTTACACCCTTCCCTAACCAAAGACTCCAGAATATAGTACAGAAGGGGCCAAGAATGTAGAATAAGAACAGCATCATCTACCTGATGTGAAATATACAAACAAGCAGTAAAAGCCAGGTGACTGTGGCACACATCTGTAATCCCAGCACTTGGGAGGCAGAGGGATGTGGATCTCTGTGAGTTTGAGGCCAGCCTGGTCTACAAAGCAAATTCCAGGACAGCTAGAGCTGTTACACAGAGAAACACTTTCTCAGAAGACAAAACCAAACCAAACTAAACCAAACCAAACCAAAACAAAAACAAAGAAGAAGTAGAAACAAAGTAATTAGATCTCATCAAGAAACTTCAAGTTTAGCCTTGACTGTCAGTTTCTACTTCAAGTAATAGTAGTAACAGTAACTTCTCCTGCTATTTTATCAAGCTAAGGACATAGCACAAAACACTTGACTCCCCAAACAGCTACCTTAAGAACTACATTAAGGATCAATATATTCATTAAGCAACATAGATCATGGACATCCACATGACTTTTGGTGAATTCATGTTGATATCCATGGGCTAGGCTGCTACTGGAGACCATACTGGTGTCCATGGCCCATTTTGCCGGGGAGGCCCTGTTGATATCTGAGGCCTGTGCTGCCACAGAGGGTCATGTGTTGGTGTCCGTGGTCTAAAATGCCACTGGAGACTATGCTGAGGTCCAAGTGGCTCATGCCGATGCCAGAGGCCATGTGGATGTCCGTGATGTGTGTTCCTGCTGATTGTAAAGGGCAAGAGGCATCTATTAGGAAGCTTTTGTAGTGATATTGATGACTGCAGACTCACAGTTGAGAAAGACACATAAGACTTGTGTGACAATCCCTATCCCCACCCCACCTCATCCCCCAAAAAAGTAAGTCATTGAAGTCAAAACAGTAAGTCATTGCTAGACAGCAAGTCATTGAAGAAAACACTTAAAATTGTGATAAGGATGATCAAGTGTAGTTTTCCACAATTGATGGCTTCTGGCAGGGATGGGGGTGGAGAAAGGCTCAGTTTTCTTTAAAGTGCTGACCACTGGGAGTTTGGCCATGCTCCCATGACTATGTGGGCAACACAAATTTGACTTATCTTTTTATTTCTTTTTTGGAGGAGGTTACAAAGGGGAGGGGCAGACCTGGAAGAATGGGAAGTGAGTGTGGTGGGGTGCATGTTGTGAAATTCTCAAACAATCAATAAAAATATTACATTAGTGGGAAAAAAGAATCAGTATGTTAATCAAGGATGCAGTGAACATTATTGGGGCTCCTTGAAGTTAATCCAACGTATAGTTTATTGAAGAACTTGAAATTCAAGATAAGTTGAACACACTTTAACTTAAGTTCATTGGAAAGACACTGGGGGGATTTTGGAAACGGAGGTAAGTACAGCGAGGGTGGCTATAACATGCTGCTGTTTCTTTTCAATCAAATATAGTAAAGTCTTACTGTATCCAAAATAGCATATTCAGTCCTGGGATTTCAAAGGTGAATGCAGAATATTCATCCTCCATCAAAGTGGCCTTTGTGATCTCATGGCACCACTGCCCAAACTTAATAGGTAAGGTCACATCTCACACACAGGATGGTCACTAGCACATGTGTTACACAGAAACGCCATGTCAAGCTTGAGTCTCTCGGCTACCTGTTCAGTTCACACTCAACCCTGATAATAAAACAACATACTGCCTGTGTTCTCAGATGCTTTAGCTCCAGTAAACCCTTGAAGAAGAAACAAAGAAAGTTTTAAAAGAAAAAAAAAAAGAAAGAAAAAGGGAAGAAAATTTTAAACCGGTGCCCTCTGTTGACATGTTTGGACAGTAACACAGGTTCAGACTTTTAGTGAAAATTTACTTAAGGGAACAAGCAGACACGCACACACATACACACACACACACACACACACTATATATATATATATATATGCATATATATGCACATACACACACTATGTACACATATATGTGCACATGTACACATACACACATACATAGATGCATACGTATATATGTATATGTATATGCATGTGCATATATATGCATATAAAACAAAAGCAGCCAATGAAAACATAATTAATTCAAGGAAACCCCAAGCAGTAACTTAGTCCCTCCTGAGGACCGTGAACAATGGCCTAATACTGACCCCACTTCGCAAAGTTCCCATTGCCTCTACACTGACATGAGGAAGACCAACCCTCCAACACACAAACCCTTAGGAGACACATTGAAATCATCCCCAGATGAAAGGACTGGCTACATCCTGGGAATGATACATCCTGGGAATCTGTACAATTTCTTTCAAGTTTTATCTTATAAATATTTGTTTCTCCAGTTACTTTCATGTGTAAATGTTCCCCCTGGTTTTACTTGATATTTGATCTCCCAAATAGAAATAATACATCACATTCAATGTGTAGATGCAGAGAAGAAATGAATGTTGGGTCATACAACCAGATAAGGCAGATAAGGAAATGTGATCATATAAGGTGTATGTTAAAAGAAAGAAGAATATAGAATGAGTAGAAATAAAAGAAGAAAATTAGGGTGCTAGTACCAGTATTTGCCTATATCAATATTAAACATTTATTTTACTTTTATTCCTATATCCACTCATGTTTACATAACATATGTTAATTGTACTTAACTTCTCAGCATTGCAATCAATACATGGAGCAGGAATGAGCACCATCCAGATAGAAATGAAAGAGCTACACTGCTTCATCCAGCCTTCCAGAACAATTTACCATAAACTGAGTTGTTTTTAAACAACAGAAACGTATTTTTCAACATCCTAAAGAATGAGAAAGCTATACTCACAGGGCTGAAAGAGTCAATATCTGCCCTAATTTTGTTTCTTGTTAATATGATAAAATGTATCCTTGAAGGGAGAAAGTGTTTACTCACTTTACAATTCCAAGCGGGAAGCCATGACTACTGGAGTACCAGGGGAGGAGCCTGAAGCAGCTAGTCATACAGTAAAGAGCCTCAGAAATGAATGCGTAGATGCTCCTTACTCAGGTCACTATTGCCACTCTTATACATGTGAGACCCAAACTCAGGGAATGGTGCTGCTCACGGTGGACTGGGCCTCATCACATCACCCAGCTCAATACAGACATGCCCCCGCAGACATACCCAGAGCCTTTTCCAGGTGATACTATATTTTGTAAAGTTGACATCTAAAAATTAACCATCACAATTTCATATGACAGAATGCTTTCAGGCTCATAGATGGCACCTTACTCCTGCATCTTCAAGGTAGAAGTGATAAAGGAATACATCAAGGCCTCTTTTGGGAGGGGACCAATCCTACCCATGAGGACTATGCTACCATAAACTCAACCCATCCTTAGGGAGCCATCTCAAGTAGTGAGGTTTCTTTAGTAAAGCCAATTTGTGTGTTTGTGTACAAGTCTGTGTTCATGTGACAGTGCATGTGCACAAGTCTTTTTAAGACAAGGAAACAATCTTGGCTGTAGTTCCTCAGACTTTTTCCATTCACCTTGCTTTTGGAGACAAGGTCTCTCACTGGATCTCATTCAATAGAGTATTCTGGCTGGCCAGGAAGATCTGGAGAATCCATCTGTTTCTGCCCCCATGACCCCTGCACTGAGATTACAGACAAGCACCACCATTGCCCACCTTTTTAACATTGCTTCTATGGATCAAAGTCATGTCTTCAGGCTGGTGCATTAAGCATTTTACTTGAAGCCCCAGGGTGTAAGATTTAATCTTGAGATCTGAGAGGACCACAAACACTCAGACCAAAGCAGGGCCTTGATCTCCTTTTGTGTAAAAAAGGTTCACATGTTTTCAGTGACATGTGACAAAACAACATCCTGAGAGGTGAAAGGATGCAAAAGCATCGTTTTTGTTACTCAGAAGTTAAATATGAATGTTCCAAGATGACCAGGTTGTTCTGTTGGAAGTTTGTACAACGCTGTGCTGCTTGGTTTTTTTTTTTTTTTTTTGTCAACTTGACAGAAATCTAGACATATGTGGGAAGAGGGACTCTTGGCCTCTGTAGGGCATTTTCTTGATGAATGACTTATTCAAGAGGACCAAGATCACTATGGGCAGTACCACTCCTAAGCTAGTGTTCCTGCTTTGCATAAGAAAACATGCACAAGAAAGCAGGCTGAGCAAGACCTGGAGAGGATGCTGTAAGCAGCCCCACTTCATTGTCCTGGCTTCAGTTTCTACCTCCAGGTTCCCAACTTGAATTTCTTCCCTGACTTCCCTCAGTGATGGATTATAAGCTGTAAAATATAGTAAACTGTTTTCGCCCAAAGTTGCTTTTGGTCATGGTGTTTCATAATATAAATAAAAACTCTAATCAAGACAGATGTAAGTTTGCTAAGACCAAAAGCATATCCCAGATAGCTTCTTTGGATGTTTATTGTTGGGATTGTTCGCAACAATCTAAGCTTCAGAAAGCAGAAACTAAATGGAAACACTACTTTACTCTTTGAAGGATGATGTAGGTCCCGGATCCTCTTTTCTATCTGTTATCACTGATTGTAGCCTTTTCATGCCTCCAGCTACAAGTGTCCTCTGCCTTCTGATACTTTTATTTCTGTTCCAGGTTAAGAAGTAATGTCATGACTAACACTTCACTTTCTGAAGGTCCCATTTACTGTGGCATTGATTCTGTATGCCTAGGGAGGTACAAAATCTCTGTGAGACAAAGTTTCCCTCCTGCTTTCAATCCTATTTTCTCTTACATGTCTCTCTTCCTTACCCCGTGTCCTGCAAAAAAAAAAATCCAAAGTACCCAAATCATTGCAGTGCTACTCTGCCATGGTGCGCAGTCAATTGTCTACTGAAAATCCCTTCTTCCAGGGAACAAGTTTCGGGGCCTCCCCAGAAGCTTCATAGAAAAAAAAGCAGCACTTTTGCTAACAAATATTGTATATGGGAAAATGGATTCCTCCAAAACCAAATTAGAGATTTTACTCTGGGGGCTGAAGAAAATATCAATCAGTGGCCTCACACAAATACAAGATTGAGACAAAAGCATTAGAGGTTTAGTACACCCAAAATCCTAAATCTGTCATTTTTCAAAATCCAAGAGAAATTCAATATAATATTACAAGCAGAAATTTCATAAATGTGCTAATATGAAAGGTAAATGTCAAATTTTAGGTGTTCAAAAATATTGTAGAATATTATGTACAGAAAATGAATATATTTAGACCTGAGTCCCATTGTCAAGATATTTCACTATGTAAACACAAATTTATCAAAATTGAAAAGAACCATAAACAAAATACATTGTGATTTTGTGCTTGCTACCTTAAAGGATTCTCAAAGAAGTCTTATGTAACAACAAGGGGATCAATTCATTAATTTGTTAAACTGTAAAACTACTGTCTGAGAATGACAAACAATATGCCAAAAGTCACACGGGAGAGCTCAGGACAGGGTAAAACTAACTTTCCATCTCAGAGTGATTTATTGTTACCCAGTTTTGTTGTTGAGTTAGAAGTTATCTGCAGTCCCTTCCATCTTTAAACTAAAGGAGTGAGGATCACTGTGCTCCCATGTTAAGGTGGGACCAGAGGCAAAATTTAAAAGCATTGCAATTTGTTTAGAGTTATGAAAGAGATTTGTTGGTATTATTTTTTTCTGAAATTTAATATTTCTAAAGCTGTTTGTAAATGTAGAATTTTTTTTCTAAAAATAATCTGATGCACAAGACATTTTTTATTTTATTTTTTAGAAAAACTTTGAGGTAACATCCGTCTCTGTAATTTTTAAAAAAATATTTTAAATCAAGGTCATGGCTTAGGAGGGGCTAATTGGCAAGTCAGAGTCTGATTTTGTTTTCAGAGAAACTATCTGTTGCCATAATTCGGCTCAGAAGCATGTCACCAAGATCAGTGACCAAGGGACAAGTGTTGAGAAAAGAGAATAGCTTTAATGAAGATGGCAGAGACCTGAAAGGGGGAGAAATTGAGTCTCAACTCCTCTTTTCCCAAGATCTTAGGGAAGTACTAGAATTTATAGGGGCAACATGCAGAAAAACAGTATTTTCCAGACACCTGGAGTTGCGCAGTCTGGAGTTTTATAGTGATCAAATGTTGATAGAGTCTGAATGACAGTTTCCTGTCAACTGGAAGTCAAGCATTTCTGCAATGCAGAGTAAAGGCCACATTCTCTGAATGAGACAGAAAAGGCATAATCTGAGGTGGATAGTATAGTTGCTTTTCAAAGTATTAGTCCAATGCACCCTTTGGCGGTTTTGTGTAATCTGAGAAGTACTCATTAAATCCTTCTATTTTTTGTTTATTTCATTAAATTTTTATTTTTAGTGGTGATAATGGATTGGTTTCTTTTTCTTTTTTCTTTCTTTTGTTTTATAACTCTGGCTAGCCTACAGTGTGCTATATAGGCCAGGCTGGCCTCAAACTCAATAAAGATCCATCTATCTCTGCCTCCCAAGTGCTAGAATTTAAAGACTTGCATGCTATACAACAACCAGCTTTGCTATAAAAAAAAACATTTTCTTCAGCCTATTCTAAATTTCAACTTTGTATGCTTTTAAAATAAATACGCTTACTAACACTAAAATATCCAAACAATCTTCATCTCCTTTTGCTCTGAGAGGTTTATAAACTGCTAAGACCTGGTTTCTATACTATTTTTAATGCTTCTGTCCCTATTAACATGAGTCCTCCTTGGGTTGAAATCAGGAGGGTAAACATCATAGTGTATCATGCCGCAATGTACCAGCATATTATAGCACTTTATTTTTTCTGGCAGTGGTGGAATATGTCAGATAGATAGGGTATCAGTGAATCTAAAGTTAGCCCAGAAACCTAAAGACTCAAGAGACATGTAGCTAAGATAAACCACTTGCAAAGAACCGAGGTTATTCATTGGACACAAACTATGTCAATCATCAACACTCAGCAAATGAGCTTACAGCATATTAGAAAAATGGACTGGTTTTTTATGACTCCTCTAGGTCTGCCCATGCCAACTGCCAATGTGAATCCTTCCTGCTCATCTGAAGTCTCAGAGTAAAGTAGCAGTTGTTCTCACCAACCCCCAGAAGGTTTTTTCCCAATTGTGTTCCTCCCCAGAAAATAGCTATACCAACCATATTTCTTGACAGGTGTGTGCTATACCATGCTTTATAAACAAGAGCGAAGGCCATCTCCAACAGATCAGCCTGAAGTTGGTAGACAAATGGACCCATATCTGATTGTCAATGGAGAAGGTTTCGTGCCTGAAGAATACGTGAACTTCATTCCAGAAAACATGATCCCCATGGCTTTGGAAGCAGAAGTGGAAGAACTGATAGTGGAGGAAGAGGAGGAGGTCATTTGGCTTTTTATACAGCACGTACATGTTGATGATGATGAGGAGGAGAATCAGACAGAGGTCATGGAAGAAGATAATGGCTGGGTTCACAATGCGGAAGAGGATGGTGGAGATGATGATGAAGCTAATTATGAGCATACTGAAATCGTCACAGGCACTGGTGAGTTATCTGTGGTGGAATTTTGGCTCTTTAATCGAGGTCTGCTATGTCCTTCGATACAACATATCTGTTGTAACAATCACATCCTGCTCAAGAGCCCATGCAGGCTTTGTGGTAGTTAGACACTGGTGTGAACCTGGAGAAACACTGAAACTGGAGAAGCCATATGCTTTCTTAGTTTGTAAATGCAAATGAATATTTTTCTTTGTGGGGGAGGGCTGCAAATAACACCAGACCCAAGTGTTTTTCTTCATTCTTGTCCCAAGAGTCAGAAATAATTAGTCACACAGGATGTGAACGCTGCTGCAAACTATCAACTACTTACAATTCAATCCTCATCTACAATCTGAGGATTATGGAAATGTAGTGTCACCCCTGAGGAAGGTACCCAGATGTAATTGTTGATATTTTGTTTGTTTCTACTTACTTTTATACTGAAAATACACTGCATATTACTACTGATCATAAACCAGAATTTTTTGGAAGTTCTAGTCTCAATGTCTATTCTTTATTTATTGAAGTAAATGACCATATGTATGAACGCTCCCATGATGAGACCGAAGAAGCTGGAGTTACAGAAAAAGTTGAGTCTGAAAATGAAAACCAGAAGGAGGAAAATGACAATAATCCAAACTCAGTTGAAAACAAAGCCTAGAATCCAGGTATCTATATGTAGTGTATAGCATTCAATCATTTCTGTCTATCTTTGTAGGTGTATATTGTGTGTGTGCTTGTGTTATAGTTAAAGTTTTCTTTGGTAAACCAAATAATGAAAACTGTTTAAAAAATAGTTAAATTCAGTTTAAGGTTGGTAATAAACACTAGATAGCACAAACAACAACATGTTCTTAAACGTTCCTAGTTACCTTTTTAAAAAATAGTTTGTGTGTGTGGTTGAGTGTTTATATGTGTGTATATGTGTCTGAGTATGGTGTATGGCTAAGTGTGGTTTATTCACATATGGGATGTACATATGTATACAATCAGAAATCAGAAGAGGGCATTGGATGTGTTCCTCTCATCATTTGTCACCCTTTTCCTTTGAAGCAGCATCTGTGACTGCAGAGTTCAAGGTTTTCTGGCTAGGTTGGCAAAGCAGAAAGCCCTAGGGATCCAATCTCTCCCTTTTTCAGTACTGTGTAACATGCAAGGGCCTGCTTGTTGGGGTTTATGTGCTGCCCGGTTCCCCACAGCTGGCAAGCCCCAAAGAAAATCACACAGAGATCTCCATAAGCTATAAAACTGATTGACCCATTAGCTCTTGTAGCTTATATTAACCCATTATTCTTATCCATGTTAGCCACATGGCTCGGTACCTTTCACAGCTGGGCAGATTACATCCTGCTTCTTTGGTGTCTGGGCAGAACTGTGGAGGGAGCTTTCTGCTTCCCAGAAGACTCCTGTTCTCCTCACCCCACCTCTACTTCCTGTCTGGTTGACCCACCTATACTTTCTGCTTGACCAATCAGCGTTTATTTAAAATATGATTGACAGAATACAGACAATTCTTCTGCACCAGTACTGGAGTTAGAGGTGTGCACAAGGCCATAACTAACTTGTTATATGGGTACTAGGATAAGAACCCAGACTCTCAGACACATAGAGAAAGCATTCTTTTCTTTTCAAATGTTTTATTGGGATGTATCTGTTCCTTTTTCTTGTTTTTAATGAGATATGTATTTTTCTCTGCTCCCCTCCCTTCCTCCCCCTTCCCCTTCTAGTCTCTTCCATGATCCCCATGCTCCAAATTTACTGCAGAGATCTTGTCTTTTTCTACTTTCCATGTAGATTACATCCATGTATGTCTCTCTTAGGGTCCTCTTTGTTGTCTAGGTTCTCTGGCGTACTGCCAAGCCATCTGCCTATCCCAAATGGTTTTAACTTCTATTCATTCAGCTATAGCTATAAGGATCAACAGAAGGTTTTCTACATTAGGTAGTTGAGCCCATGACATTTTGAGAACCTCAAACAAATGACTAAAGTTATATGTACTTATAGTAATTGAAACTTCATTGTATACAAACAGAAATAATCTATTTTAACAGAAAAAATGTTTAATAACTAGAATCAATAACTGTGATTGGTATCTTAGTATTCATTTAGTCAAAATTATTATTATTTAATTTAATAATCATTAAAAATTAGTCATTGAAAGATTATTTTTCCAGTGAATTTTTTGTTAGTTTATTTGTAATTGTATCATTCCATTTTTCCTTTTTACCAGTATAGATCCTGTGGGTTAAGAGAGTATGATTTGTGAATAGAGAATACAATGTTTCCTACAGTGTCATAACATAGACCACACTCTCCTAGAACTTGTTATTTATGCCAGGCTTATCTCAAACTCAGAACCCTCTTGTATGCTAGGATTACAGATGTGCCCCATTATGCCCAGCTAGCAGGGTTTGCTTTTTGGTTCCAAGAGAAGACTATACTAAAATTCCAGAATGGTTTCTCCAAAGCAAACAACAAAACAGAATTTTTCAATGCTCAAAAAGTGAGAAAAATGAAGTTGCTATGGTAGGAGGACGATTGATTTCATACTCTGTATGAACACTTTCATTCTCAAAGATCCAGGCTATGATGGAGAGATACTGTGTAAAGATCATGTTAAAACAGCACAGGCGTCTTAGGTTAACTGCTTTCTTCATTTTGCAAAGTAGCTGGTACATATTAATGTTCTACAAGTACTAACTATCCCTTATTACCTCCTACAGCTTGAAGGCATAGAGATGAAATACAGAAAGGAAGAAACCCATGAAGATTTTATCAACACAGATTGTGGTTCAAAATTCATCACCCTTTTATTTTAACCTTACCATTATCTGATTGTCTTACTGTATTGTCTTACTCTATTGTCTTTCTATACCAAACAATGTTCAGTTCAAAATAAAAGATTTAACAAGCATAAGCAGAAGATTATTTGCATAACACTGAGTCAATTAATATTGATTTTGTCTTGGTATAGCAGATTTTAAAGGGGATCATTTGCGACAACGTTTTAGATTCTTTCACTAGTAGTCCCCAGCTACTTCAACATTAGTGGTAAATGATTTACTTCAAGAGAGAGGCAGAGGTCTAGCTTCTATTCATGGAAACTAATGAATGTACTGGCTTGCCTGGAAGCCAGATAGTGTCACCACGCAGTGGTGGCAGTGACAACAGCAGCAGCAGCAGCAGCAGGAGAAGAGAAATGAAAAGGAGGAGGAGGAGGAGGAGGAGAAAGAGGAGGAGGAGAAGCAGAAGAAGAAGAAGAAGAGGAAGAGGAAGAGGAAGAGGAAGAGGAAGAGGAAGAGGAAGAGGAAGAAGAAGAAGAAGAAGAAGAAGAAGAAGAAGAAGAAGAAGAAGAAGAAGAAGCAGTAACAGCAGCAGCAGCAGCATCTAGGTACTTGTTAGAAATGCAATTACACAAGTCCACTACAGACAAGCTGACTCAGAAATGTTCAAGTTAAACAAAAAAACTTGAGTTTTTATAAGTCTTTTAGGTGATTCTAATGCATATGAATGCTTTACAAACACTAGATTAGAACAATGGAAGACCAGGTTTCTGCTTTATGAATGTTAGTTAATTCACTTGAGACTCTTTTCAGTAAATTGAACAGGAAAATAAAGAATGAAAAAGAGACTTGAATTCCTCAGTGTTGGAACATAAAGATGTGGAAGCTAAACGATTATGTTGTGCAAGGAGAGGAATCAGGTAAGGGAGAAGAAAGCTAATCCTAGGAATATACTAATTTTATGATGTCATATATACATTTTATAATGTATAAAAGAACCATATACGAATGGCAAAGTCATACAAGTATAAGAGAAGGGGTACATATGACTAATGCCTGTATGACTAATGAACAGAGGAGTGTAGGTCAACAATAAGTACTTTATTTAGAAGAATGGCTATCTGAGAAGAGAGAGGATGGGTAATTCACTTGGAGAAGGTACTCTTGGTTCTATAAATCTGTGGTGAAGTAATAGTACAAAATCAAATAGCTTAAAACAAGAGACATTTATACTCAGACAGTTCTGAAGGCCACAAATCTGAAATCAAGTTGCTAATTCAGGAACACTCTCTCAGTAGCTTTAGGAAAGAATCCTTGTTTCTCTAACTTCTGATCACTTTTCATGCGATTTTCTCTTGTCTGTTTCCTCCAGAATGGATATGACCATTGCTATCTTATATTGAATAAGAGCATCTATGATAATTTACCTCCCAAACCTCCTGAGATCAGGCTTATTCTCTTCCCCTATTGGAGGGATGGAGTATGTTTACAGGGATTATGGGGAATCAAAATCCTTGAGATATTTTCCCAAAGTTCCTCTTTCCTCAATATTATGTAGGAGGTGGAACGCTGGTAAGTTGTGGGACGCTGGTTGTATAGCTCCAAGTATTTGACCCATGGGGTCTTCATTCTTCAGAGGTATGACATTTTATGTGTCATTCATGAGGTGAATGGGATTCTTCAGTCATATAGCTGCAGGTAAGTTGCTCAGATAGCTTGGCATGAATTACCCATGCTCCTATATATAACCTCAATAAACCTATTGCCTCACCAAGCTGTATTTTCATGGAATCTTTCTGTCAGTCAGTTAGTGCTGTATGTGGGGTGATTAGATGGTTCTTTACATCTCCTAAGGAAAGCTCATGTACAGCATACTTTCTTTCTCCATATCCTTTCTCTTAGCTGATAACACTAATAATTTGATTTAAGACTCAAAAGAAATCTAGGATAATTCAATAGTGTGTCTCTTTGTTGTTGTTGTTTTGTTTTGTTTTTAAATTTTTATTGATTCTTTGTGAAGTTCACATCAGCCTTCCCAATCCCACTTATCTCCTCGAGCCCTCATATCTACCCTCCACCCGCGCAGCCTTCCCTCAAAAATAAAATAAAAAAGAAAAACCAAACCAAAAACAAACAAACAGAAGACGGAGAAGAATCTCATTGTGGAAGCTGTAATGTGGTTCGTTGACTCACACGGTTTTCCCTTTAGTCCATTCATCAAACTGCTATAAGTCATTGGTCTGGTTTGAGGCTGCTGGCCTCTGTTTTATCACTGATAATGGATTCTCACTGGGGCTCCTCTTGGAGATCTTGCTGTTTTGGACCTGTAGGTTCATCCCCTTCAGGGGCAAACAAGTGGGTCTTCCTCCTACAACAGGGCACCCAGATCAGGATGGCCCTGGTGGCAGCATGGCCCTTGATTACTATGGTGGTTTGAAAGACAATGGTCCCCAAAGGGAGTGGCACTATTATTAGTTGTGACCTTGTTGGAAAAGGTATGGCCTTGTTAGAGGAAGTGAGTCACTTTGGGAGTGGGTTTTGAGCTCTTCTATGCTCAAGCTATTCTCAGTGTCTCAGACCATTTCCTGTTACTTGCAAAATATAGGATTCTCAGCTACTTCTTCAATACAAAATCTGCCTGCATGCCACCATGTCTGACCATGATGTTAATGGACTGAACCTCTGAACTGTAAGTGAACCACCCCAATTAAATGTTTTCCTATAAAAGTTGCCAAGGTCATGGTGTCTCTCCATAGCAATAGAAAACCTAAGAAAGACACCAACATGGTCTCAGGTATCTGACCAGACCCTGTGCATCTGCAGAACCCTCAGTGTTATCAGGACCCAGGAATATCACCCTGGACCCTGCTCACTGCAGGGCCTCTCCATCTTGTGTTTCTTAGTAAATTTGATCTTCAAAGACAACATATCCAAATAAAATAACATTTATAGGTAGTAGGTATTAGAATTTGACATTCCTTATTTTAGAGAATGAAATTCAATTTATTAGAAGATACATAGAAATCTTGCATTGTTCTTATATATTAAATAGTGTGGTAGGTATATAGTACAAATACAATTGACTTCATATCTATGTATTCCACATCTATGAATTGAAGTACGGATCAAAAATGTTTGAAAAACAATTGTGCTATATATAGATTTCTCCTTTAGTTCTTAAATAATTTACATAATATATATTCTAAGTAATAAAGAGATACTGATGTCTTACTAGGGTTATATACAAATGCTACATGTTTGGCTATGTCTTTTTATATGTCTTGAATATCATGGCGTTTACTATCTTCACCAAGTCCTGAAAATAATCTCTAACAGATATTGAAGGATCTTCTATAATGTTGTGTAAGACTTAGATATTTATAAATAAAAAACTGACAAAAAGTTAGAGGGAAAATGGAAATGGGGCTAATATATACAAACTATTTAAGGAAAATGAAGCCTTAATTAATTTTTGTAGAAGACACTACAAGGGTAAAGGCCAGGGAAGTGTTGATAGAAGACCCTGTTTATACATTTGCATAAGGTTGCTTACATACTTTCTCTTTAGCATTAATACTTTCCTCTTCTTTTTTAAAATGGTTAAGTTTATTTATTTATTTATTTATTTATTTATTTATTTATTTATTTGATTTATCGAGACAGGGTACCTCTGTAGCTTTGGAGCCTTCCATGGAACTAGCTCTTGTAGAACAGGTTGGCCTCGAACTCATAGAGATCTGCCTGCTTCTGCCTCCCAAGTGCTGGGATTAAAGGTTTGTGGCACTACTGCCTGGCAAAGATTTATTTATTTACTATGTATACAGTGTTCCTCCTGCATGTATGCCTGCAGGCCAGAAGAAGGCACCAGATCTCATTACAAATGGTTGTGAGCCATTACACATTACATATGATGGATGCTGGGAATTGAACTCAGCACATCTGCAAGAACAGTCAGTGCTCTTAACCTCTGAGTCATCTCTCCTCTTCTTGTCTTCTTGTTAAACACCTCAAAATTTACTCTTCTTAGAAAGCAACATTTCACATTCCTTCAGAGAAACATATACCTCATCCTTTTAAAGGCAGAATGGTAACATGAAAAGTCAGTATAAATTGCCATCGCTACTCTAAAATTAATCTAAACACATGCATTGGAAAATGGATTGTTTTTTTCTAGAGATGTGTTTTGCATGCTTTTTGGTTGCTGACAAGCAACCAACCAGCATAACTGCTTATTGCCTGCCCCTAAACAGGCTGATATGAATTAGGGAACAGTATTAACTAGGCAAGAGAGCTTATGATAGGAAGAAGGTGCAAAGCCATTACTTCCTCACCAGAAATCTCATTATGCTGGTTTATATGCCAGTACAAAGGCAAAATTAACAAGTTATAATAATAGAGCATTTTTAGTCTATCCCAGATTACAGCTGTTTGCATTTGTGCCCAGGAAGAATGTAGTGTTGCACGGGGAGCACTGCCAACCCCAAAACAAACAGCATATGATACCTGGATTTAAGTGGGTGATCGTGAATGTTTCAAGATCATATCCCCTAGGTTAGCTTCAGTTTTCATCTATGCAAATATTTGTCTCGAAAATAATGCTTAAAGGAGACTTTGAGAAATAGAGGATCAATGGCAGGCTCATTAGAAGACGGTGTTAAAGGACTGCAAATGTAGTATTTGAAGCTCATTTTCAAATGTAACTTTTAGGCAGAGCACGTCTGAGCCAGTTGATTTCTACAGCTTAGCCAAGCTGGAACCATGGGAGACCCAGGGATCAGCACAGTCAGCTGGCTCCAGTAACTGCCTGGATAAATAATTCCGAACAAACGACTCACGCAGAAGTGAGCCATGGGGACACAATGACCCACAGGATGCCTTCTAAGCCAAAGGCCTCCTGTCTGTGGAGTAGCCACATTATTGAACATGGTGGAAGAAGAGCTCCCAGTTGAGATAACAGAACCCTGGGGCGGTACTTGTATGCGGAGGGGATCAAGAAACACTAGAGTAACGGAATAGCAGATGTTTCCAGAGAAGGGTCAGGAGGGCTGGTCGTGTTGGTCATGGTCTGGGACCCATCAATACTTCATATGCGTGAAATGCTGGGATACAGATAAC